TTGTATTGTTCGATACATATGCATACCGAACCGAAAGCACTGTATCGAACGGTTCAATATCGATACGAGTATCGTTGCACCCCTAATAAATATGTCATTTTAATGGCTTGGTTTTCTGGCAAAGACCCAGCTTTTAAGTATAATGGACAAATCTGAGGTCAGGGCATTAGAAAGGCCAGAAGCTTAATATTAGCCTGCTTTGGTTATTCCAAAAACAGTTTTGATATGAGTTTGGGATCACTATCCTGTTGGAACACCCTAGTGTGTAAGTTTCAATTGTCTAGCTGTTGATTGGAGTCAAGTTGAAGATTTTCGAGGTAGGCCCCCTTTCTTCATTATTCAGCTGACTTTGTGCAATGTAATCAGTACCACTAGCAGCAGAATAGCCCCAGACCCTCATACTGCTTGAGAGTTGGTTCAATGTTTTTAGTTTTGAAAGCCTTACCTTTGTCCTTCTAAACCTTGGGGTTGCTGTAGAGCAAGTAAGGTGTGTGAATATTAGGTAAAAGGCACTTAGGTGTAGAAAAAAGTTCTTTTATGAATAGGTCTGAATGAGGCATGTTGCATAAAGGACTGAGATGAATTCTACTACTTACTAACATTCTCAGAGCTTTCCTTGAGGCATCCTTGGTTTTGCAATATGATAGCTATTATTGTTTAAAAGAAGATACAAGCTGAGAACAAAACCCTATCTACTTACTGCCCCTAGTTTGGAGGTGTGACAAACTTGGATAATATAAAAATGAATGGCCAGTTCTGCCAGATTGAAGGGGTTCACCCATGCCTTGAAATTTCACTTGGATAAAAGAACAATGTGTCTTTAACAACCCAAGCATATTTGAACTAATTATGACCCTTACATCAAAAGCAGAAACAGTAACCTTCATTTCAGTTCAGTTCCCAGGCATGATGCTTGCCTTAACCTATCAACTGAATGTCACTGTCTTTGTGTTTTAGCAAAAGATGACATGTACTACGTGCTGTTTTGCTGAGATCAACTGTCTGTTTAATTGAACTCTGGCTAGTCCACTAAGCTTGTCTCTAACATTAAACACGCATGTAGTGTTATATTCTCAGAACTGCTTTGTCCAGCTGCACAGTTCAGACTTTTAAAAAACGGTTTTACAGTGATATTGGAGCAATGTAAATGCTCGGAGTTCTATAATGATCATTTGATGGCAACCATGGACCAGTGGTTCTACTTGACCTGAAGGGAACTGTTTAAGTTCTCATTAGAACTAGTTGCCCTGAAGCAGTGGTCCCCAACCCCCAGGCCACGGACCGGTACCGGTCCATGAGTTGTTTGATACTGGGCCGCAAGAATTGAAGCTCGGGTGTTCATTAACTCGGTTTCCCTGGGTCTTTTCCCGTGTTGTCGTTGTGTGTCTTATTTTGAAAGAAATATTTGC